ATGCTGTCATCTGAATGCTCTGCAGCTGGTGAGTGGAGAGCTTTTTTTTAAAAAAAATGCTTTGCACTCACTGGCTGCAGCAGCAGCAATTGGGGCCCCTGGGGGCTTGTGGCAGAGCCCCCCCATGCAGCACTGATCTGACCCCCCTCCCCCACCTGGCACCCACATGGCAGTTGCCCCATGGCGTGGGTGCAGTGCAGTTCAGCACAGTGCTGCACTCTGTCTGGAGCTGGGGCAGCTCCATGTGTCAGTTGGAGCTCTCTGATCACTTCCCCCCAGCTCTCTGATCATTCTCCCAGCTGTTCCTGGGGGGTGCAGGCCCCTGGATCTGTGTGCAGGGTTTTGGCAGGCTGCTGCTGCTGGCTGGTGAAAAAGCCCAGAGCCACCACCTTCCCCAGCTGGCAGTGGCAGTCTGCTGTCATCCTGAGTGCAGATCCAGGGGGCTGCACCCCCTGGGAAGAGCTGAGGAAAGCTATAAGAGATCTGGGGGAAAGATCAGGAAGCTGGGGAATCAAACCAAGAGCTGGGGGAATGTTCAGGGATCTGAATATTCCCCCAGCTCCCTGAAATCTTCCCCCAGCTCTTCCTGGGAGGTGCAGGCTCCTGGATCTGTGTGTTGAGTGGCCCCTGAGGCAGCACTGAAGTCTTCCGGATGCTTGGCGCTAGGTGTGCTGAGCAGTTGCCACTGGCCCCAGCCTGCAGTGGCAGCCTGCTGAAACCCCACACACAGATCCGGGGGCCCACGCCCCCCAAGAAGAGCTGGGGAAATGATCAGAGAGCTGGGGGAAGTGATCAGAGAGCTGGGGAATCAAACCGGGAGCTAATGTCAATATCAGAGCAGCCCTTCCTGCCCTCTTCCCCCTCCCTCTCTTTAGTTTTTGTTTCCCTGCAAGCCCGGCTCCAAAACTCTGAAATTCTCTGAAATGTTTTGGAGCCTTCCGTTTCAATTCAAGTTCAGTGTTTCAGGCACCAAAATGGCCCCAAACACCTCTGAAATGAAACGGCTGCTGAAATTTCACACAGCCCTAGTCCAAACGACAATTTGGAACCAGTTTATAAGCAAGTAAAAGAGCTATTGTTCTAAAACTAGATCTCTTAGTTTTAGTTCCATTTGTAGGATATTTAGAAATTCATAGTGACCCAATTGATATTGAAGACTGCATCTAAAGCAGCTATCAAAGACTAACATATCCATTACTTTATATGGAATCAATAGGGTGTATAATGTTATTTTGTTTTTAAAAAGAAAGGCTTCTTTTTCTTCTTGCTATCTTCACTTTTCTCTATTTGAAGTTTTCATCCTTTTATGTCCGTGAAACTTAGTAAACTACTACTTTATAGCAGGGGTCACCTCTAAGGCTCTTTCACAGCACTCATGGTATTCCAGCATTACTGTTTGAGACTGCACAAATCAAATCCAGATTTCAAAATATCTCAGGTTCAGGGATGCTAAGATCCAGTGTTTTCTTTTGGTACATTAGAAAGAGTTGCAGCCAAATCTGGATCTGCATCTAGGCTTGTCTGGATCTGGGTCTTCATTCAGCCCATTAGCAGAAAATTAAAAATTAGACAGAAGACCAAATTCAGCCATCGTGGAAATAGGCGCACACCACTTAATTCCCAGTTAAAAAAAAGAACTTAACTTACACTCTTTGTGTCACTTACATCTTCACTTATATCATTGCTGAATTTGCTCCAGAAGCTTCAATGGAAGTGGAACATGTTTATCACAATAGAGCATCTGGCTCTATTTAGCCCATATTGTTTTTTCTACTGATGTCACCAATGTTTTCCCTTATTTACAACTGGATACAAAAATAGCTGCACTAGCATCAGTGTTTGAATTCAGCTGCCAGAACTAAGGGAGGAGAACATCTTAATTAAGTTCATAACTGACATACTAGGGTGACTTGAACGATAGGGATGCCAACAGATGTTGGCACAACTTCAGAAATTAGAAATAGAATGTTAAATCCTCTCTTTTTCTGCTTCCCCCACCCCCATGAAAAGACAGTGATTCAAAACAGAAACAAAACCATAACTGGGATTAAGAAAATGAAGAACATAGGAGGTCATAATCACCTAATTTTGGAAGAGAATAGCTCATGTTAAAGTAGTGTTCGAAGAAGTCAAATACAATTTTTGTAACATTTGCTGCATATTCTGCTGTGTGTATCTGCTGTGGCTGTGCATAAATCCTGAGCTGTAAAACAAAGCAGAGAGATGCAATGAAAGTCATTCCCTTTAAACAGAGGAAGTCAAAACAAGCCAAACAGAAGAAATCAAAGTAAGCACTGACATATCATTTCACACAATGGTGAATCTTCTCCATATAACTGGCTGTGATATTAATACTATTCACTAAATGAGGAGTATCCAACTCATCTGGCCCTGTGGGCTAGATGAGTGGTGCAGGGCCAGTCCACAGGCCATGTGAATGGCAAATGGGCAGCCCCATAGGCTGGGTAAGGCCCATGAAGCTGCCCCCGCACTCACCCATGCTGGATCCAGCACATACAATGGCTCTTCTAGCTGGTCTGGGAATGGACCTGCCCATGCAGAGGCAGTCCAGTTTTTGAAAGGCAGAATGAAGGAAGATCTTTGCTTGTGGTAAGTAACTGAGTACCAGCAGCTATGGAGCCAAGGCTACTCATTAGGGCTGTGCAAAATTTCACTAAGTGCTTCATTTTGAAGCTGTTTCAAGCTTGAAACAACAGCAAAATCAAACTGAAACAAAAGGCTTTAAAACAGCTTTCAAATGAAATGAAAGCATTGGAAATGTTTTGAGTTTCAAAGCCAGGCTTGCTTGGCTTCAGTGCCAGTCCCAGCCGGCAATGGGAGCCTGCTGTCATCCCACATTCAGATCTGGGGGTCCACACCCCTGCGAGGAGTCTGGCACAGCCCCGCAGCACTCCTGGGGGTGTGGGCCCCCAGATCGGTGTGCAGGATGACAGGAGGCTGCGGCTGCCAGCAAGTGATACAAGTTTTCCTTTCAACCTTTTGTGGTGCAGTTTCCCAGAAACATCTGCCCCTATCTCCTTGAAACTTGCAGGCTTCATGCCTTCAGAAGGAGCTACCATCCCTGCAGTTTTCATCTGAATCAGGCAAGAAATGACAAGGTTTTAGGCATTTTCATGATTCCCCATTATAGCCTATGGGCAAAACATTGAAACAGTTTTGACAAAACAAAACAGAACAGTGCTTTGGAATGAAACAAAACACTGTCCCTTTGAAATGGCAAAACAGAAGTTGAAATGAAATAGTGCTGTTTTGCACAGCCCTATTCCTGTTCCCTGTGCTTTGGGGGAAAAAACGGTGTGTTGTGTAACAGATGTGGTATCTTTTCAGCCTCTTCCTAAACTTCCCATCCATCCTGATTCTGTTTATTGTCTCCTTCTGCTCCTATCTTTGGCTATGTCTAGGCTACTGAGTCTTAACCACACCCCTAATGATGTGGTCAAGGGCTTAGATTCAAAGCTGACCGAGTGAGGTCTGGTTTCAACTTATTGTCAGGTTGTATCTACAGTGGCAGTGGTATAAGTAAAAAATAATTCCAAGGGACAAAGATTGCATACTGTGCAATCACATTTTTATTTCTTCTCCCTTTCCAATTCCTTAAGTTTACCTATTGAGACACTCTCTTTAGGACCATTGTGCATGGCTTCTCTGCAAGTAGCATTGTATGGCCTGCTAGGCTTTTAGCAAAGGAGTTGGCCTACTTCAGAAGCAGCGCTAAGGAAAAAGAGGTCACGAATGAAGCTGGAATGGCCAAAACTATATTCAATTCACTAAAGCTTTGTACAAAAATGTGACAAAACATTGGGGGGGGCGGTTTGTAAAACCCAGATTTGCAGAGTAATGGCCATTTCTGATGCAGGCAAATATTGATCCTATTTGCAAATCGGGGAAATTAAGGAAGAATAGTTTTAGCAACTTGCCCAAAGAAGGTTATATAGAAAATCCATGGCAGAGCCGGGAGGATAATCCAGAAATCTGTACTCCCAGTCATTAGGCAATGTTTCCTCTAAAACAGTTATAAATTCCTCAGAAGAAATGATGCTAAAATCAGCCAGACTGCAAAGCTTGGGCTACAATTTGAAGGAGAAAGAATGAAAGTGCAACTCTGGAAAAATCTTCATATCTCACAGTGAGTTGAGTATTCCAGATCAGGGTCAGGGAAAATGAGGGGTTTGGTTTAAAGGTCAAATACTAACTGAAATTTCAGCTTCAACAACCCAGTTGTTAAGAAAACTGTAAGCTATTTCCACAAGATTTTTGCATAGCAGAAATCTCCTGAGACTAGGTACTCCTTTACAAGCTGTTGGCTGAATCCAAACCAGAGCTGAAAAACAGATTCCTTACTCTTTGGTTCTAGTTTGTGTCCAAAAATAATAAGAGCAGATCTAGATTTTGATGGTTCAGATCAAAACCTACTCGCATCACTGCGGTTCAAACCTGAGGTTCCAGTAATTCAGGGCAAGGACTGCCTCTTTACAAGTTTCTATTGTACCAGTCATAACTGTGGTCTCTAGGCTCTATTACAACATACAGTATCTATTTTTAAACAATAAATGCAGCTCCACTCCACCATTATTTACTGTAGCTAATTACTAAGTAAGAGAGAACAGGTGCAACATGAATTCACAGATTTTAAGGCCCCGAAGAAACTACTGTGAACATCTTGTTCAGCTTCCTGTATAAAATGAGCAACAGAGTAGGGAAAAATAAGCTCTCTCTCTCTCTCTCTCTCTCTCTCTCTCTCTCTCTCTCTCTCTATATATATATATGCTGACTGCTGATTATTTCTGATGGGTTTCATTGATTAAAAATTCAAATCACTGAAAACATTTAATTTAAACCTCTGTGTTCAGAATGAGAATCAGACTTACCGGTTTTCCACTGGCAGATATTTTTTCTATAAAGCTAAACTGGTGCACAGCAAAGCATACCAGGTAAGTGCTCATGGGAACAGATTTTTGAAAAGTAGTCCTGGTCCAGCCATTACCCAGTGGAATGATTTGCTGCAGAAGTTGAAAAAAAATTATTTTGAAATTACAAATGTGTGCATAAGAGTGCAAGATTCATATGAAAACCAGAGCTGTAGGAGAACCATGAATAGCCTCTCCTGGCTCATCTCTCTTAGTTTACACATCTCATAGGATGGGAACGTGCAAAGTGATTTCTCCCTGCCCCTTAAAGCTGCTGTGCTTATGAGGGTGTTCTGTTTTTATACACTAAGAATAAGGTTTCCTATTTCTAACTGTATCTGCATTTTAAGAAGTCAAATTATGTATGTTTGTACCTATGTAATCTTGTTTAAATGAGGCTTTCAACAAGTTTTAGTATTTTTTAGCTAGTCCTCTTCAAATGATTGTGTAGAAACAAAGCAATAAACACGCCAACATTTTCAATGAATTAAATAATGAACTAAATTTTGCCCTCAAATCTGAAAACAGTGAGATAATATAGATCTGAACAAATGTAAAACTTGGTTGTGAATCAATTGAAATTCTAGATTACTTTTTTTTCTACAGTTGTATTTAGTAGTCTTAAGAATTTGTACAGGATTTTTTTACCATGTTTTAAAAAATAAACTATTTCCTGAGAGTTTACTTCGGTTATTTCCTATTTACTACTAGTTACGTGGTTTATTTTTTTTCTGTTTCTTGATTTGGATGGATTTCTTTAAAAGGAGATAAGCAAACAACAGATATAACAAATCTAATTAAAATGCAATAAATGTGTGAGACTCATTTACTTTTTTTGTAAATGTCTACAGTTTTATAGGAGCAACATATTTTCTCACTGCCAGTAACAGTTAAACAAATTATGGCAATTTGTTTGCTATTCCTCTCTCCCCCAATCCCCTACCCCCACACACATTATTTGATCAGCTCTGTTTTTTATATCTCCCATCTCCAATATCACTTGGAGTTTATAGGACTCAAGCCCAAATTCTCACAGAACAGTTCAACCAGTCCAACTGAGTTTCCCCTGGTTTTGTACAAGGGAATTTTAAACAATTTAATGCAAGATGACTGTTCAGTCCAACTACTCTGTGGACTCCTCCAGGTAGCCTTTGATTCTTGGAATGCCTTTCAAAATCTATTCAGTACACCTCCACTTTCAGCTCACTCATATTATCACCAAAAACTCCTTCCAAACTTCCTAGAGAAAAGGTGACAAATAGATTTTATATAAAATATCATTACGTTTCTGAACTACTGTCTGAGTGTACAGTTGAAAAAAGGGATGTTGGTAATACATACCATAAAGTATTAAAAACTTCACTCACTAGCACTATGTCCAAAAAAGACTTGATGGCCATGACTGACCACAAGATGAATATGAGCCACCTATGCAATGCCGCAGCTGGCAAAGCAAATAAAACCCTGGCTTGCATCTACCAATGCATCTCAAACAAGACCCAAGAGGTCATCCTCCCACTTTACTCGACCTTGGTGAGGCTGCAGCTGGAGTACTGCATCCAATTCTGGGCTCCACACTTCAAAAAGGATGTGGAGAAGTTCAAGAAAATCCAGAGGAGAGCCACACACATGATCAGAAGTCAAGACAGCAGGCCTTATGAGGAAAGTCTGAGAGACATGGGACTCTTCAGCTTGGAAAAGCACAGGCTCAGAGGGGACTTGGTGGCAGCCTAGAAATGCACCAGAGGTGTACATCAGGACCTGGGAGAATGTCTGTTTACCAGTGCTCCCTTAGGGAAAACTAGGTCCAATGGTCATAAACTGCTGGAAGACCATTTTAGACTGGACATAAGGAAAAACTTCTTTACTGCCCGAGTCTCCAGAGTCTGGAACAGACTCCCCCAGAAGCGGTACAAGCACCTACTCTGGACATGTTTAAGTTGTGTTTGGATGCTTATCTTGCTGAGGTCATTTGACCTCAGCTGCCTTCCTGCCCCTTAGGTGGGGGGGGAGGGAGGCTGGACCCAATAATCTTGTGAGATTATCTTCCAGCCCTAATGTTTATACTAAGGTTTTTCATAGACAAGGTAGCTGTAGTTTTCAACATGGCAATAAGTCAAGGTACATCTGTGTATCTGCAATTGCCTTGTCTAGATAGAATTCTAACACATTAGTTAACAAATAATATAACAATCCACTTTGTCTTCTGTATGGAAAACAAGGCCTTCAGTATATGACAAAACTGAATGACCATATTATCATCCCTGGACCTCTTCTGCTCCACCCTATCATTTCTCCTACTGTTTGTGACAAACTCGCTTATCTGTCCTGTTCACCAGCTAAGTATAAAGCAGGGATCTCTCCCATGTGTTTTCCATGATGATACCTAATGTACTTTGAGGTCTCATAGAATTATTAATAAAAGAAGTTGGTCTCAGCTTTAAGTTTGTAAGTGGTCCAGCAGGCAGCTCTATCTTTGGCAGAACAATTCTCTCAGTTATAATGCTAAAGAGAAACCATTTCTCAGCTTCTTTCAACAAAACAATATACAGTGAAGAAGCTATATTTTTTGCGTGTGGGTAGGGATGGGCACCGTATAAATTTCCATGGCTTGGAGGCTGCGTGTCACTTTTCTTTTTTTAACTTCGTTGACAACTTTCGGATCTATTCATTAGAAATTATACATGGGAGTCAGCACTGAGTCAGCCTATTCATCAGAAGCTCTCTTGGCTGCCAGCCATGGGACTTTTTCAGAGGTGGACAATTTATGTCCTTGAGTTTCCAAAAAAACTTACACTTTGGTCAAAAAAGCTATTTAGGAAATGACAATCATGGTGGATTGATAAATGTCCAAACCTCACCAATAGGACAGAATTAATCCCATTAAACATGCAATTAAAGAGCAGTGGGGGGGGGGGAGAGAAACTCTATCAAACCTGTTTTCTTGCTAAGCAGGGTCTTTTACTATTAGCCTGTGATCAGCAGATGCTTGTTTGGTAATATTCATATTTTAATAGTTATTGTTAGCCTATGAGACTACACTATTAGAAAGCACCTGGATTTCTGTTAGCAACCTCCAAAGACTTCCTCCCTGTGCCCCCACTCTGTCTAGCTGATGTCACTGAGAAATCTGCCACCATGTATATATGATCAGTAGAGAAGGCAAATTGACAAGATGTGGTTATGTGGGAATCTAGGGTTAGCTACAAACAGGGCGCATCTACACACACCTATTAATGCACAGCAATAAACTTCAGGCCTTATCACTGCTGGATGCACGTCTGCATGTGCGCCCAGGATTGCAGTACGTTGAGCTAGGGTGGAGCAGCCCCTGCTCTCAGGGAGCCCTGGGGATCAGCCTGCCAGCTGGGGGCTACTCCCTCTGGCTCAATCAGGTGTAGGAGCTCACTGGAGCACAGTGGTGCTTCAGCACGGGTCTAGCAAGCAGGCAGCACCTGCACTGAAGCAACCTCATGCCCCAGCCAGCCCCTCCAGTGTCTACAAGTGCACTGCTGTGGAGTTTTTGACTCTGCAGCACGACAGTGCTTGTATTTACAATACTATCCTGTTGCAGAGTAAATTAGTTTAGTTTATTCTAGCCTAATAGGGGCATGTGTAGATGCGGAGATGTTTACTGAATAGCTAAGCGGTCTACTGTGCAGTAATTGTCTCATCTTTCTTGCACTGGGATTGGCACAATAAGTCTGTGTTGTGTTCTGCTGCTGAACCTCTCATGGCTAGAAATACAGAACTTGTAAACATTCTACAAAATAGGACAAATTATATTTACCGAGCTCATGCTGTGCAGCTTATCAGATGAGGAAGGATCTGTTAACATACTACAAGTTACTTGCACAACTGCTTTGCAGACTCATTCTATTTAAACAGTACTTTTAGGCAGAAATACATACCTCCACTGGCATATTTGAAAGTGCTTTGTATGCATCTTCATGGATGATAGTTATGTTGTAAGTTGCCTTTTTGTTTGGCTCATCAAAGCAAGGAAAGGACTTCCGCGCATCAGTTGGCTCATGATCTGTGGCTGCAATGCTCCTTTGAAATAATCAAGATGGTTGCATTTTACTAAGTCTTCATTATACATTATTTATGTTTATTGCAATGTAACACTCTAAAAGGGAATAGAAGTTTACAAGCTTTCTTTTTTTTTTCTTCTACTTGTCTTAGGGCCCCTCTACCTGTGCAGGTAAAGGTGCAATGGGATATAATGTGCAATCCACACATACATGGCAGGAGGCATGATTGTGGGATCATGAATTAGATCTCATCATGCCTTATTGCCAGTTCTGGGGGAGGTCCAATCCTGGACACCCCCTGCACTGACATGAAGCAAGTTCCCACGGCTGGGAGACCTCGCAGTTAACGAGTCCCAGTCAGGGGGTGCCCCATGCACTCCTGTGGATAGGAAATACAGCTACCATGATCTTCTAGCCCTGGGGGTGTGCAACTCCCACCCCAGCTGCAGTTTGCTGCCAGGATCCAGAATTGGCAGCTGCTGGGGCTGAGAGTCCTAGTTGCAGAACTCTTAGCCCTGGTTGTGCATGATGTGGCTGGCCCCAGCCACAGGGGTGACCCTGCTACATGTGCAACTTAAAGCTTGATAGCAACCAGCTAGAAAGTTAGCACACATTTTTTTGGTCTAACTTTATAGCTGGTTGGAGCTTTTTATGTCATGACTGCTACTTTGCCCATGTAGCTTGTCTCCTGGTAATTGCACAATTAACCAGTTAATTGCAGGATACCTGTAATGTGTAGAAGGGGCCTTATTCAAAGAAGTATAAGATTATAATAATACAACTTAAATATTGTATGAGGATTAAATATCAGGTTCATAAGCCTTGGGCTTCTGTTAGTGATGGCTTGCAGGTTTTATAAGCAAAAAAGCTCTGAAATTACTCATTACTAACAGGGTACACTTACATATCTATAGGAGTAGGAACAATAAAGCACAAATTTTGTTCTCTTTGCCAACCTAAGTAGTCCCATTGACTTCAGCTCCCAAATAAACATTACTAACTAAACGGAAATTGTGATTCTCATCCAGTGATGACAGCTGTGGCCAGAAGAAACTCCACTGACTTGTGTCCACCCAGAACTCATTGCATGACTGGAGCCTTCATCTTGAGCCTCTCTAAAATAACTTTTACAGCTTCTGAGCAGTTATTTAAAACCTGAGAAAGTATGCTGGCTACATGCACAGCACTTTTCTAACGGATGAATGGAGGGGGGGGTGGGATTTAGAGGGTCTCCACTGGTGCAGTTGTACTATCTCCCGCTTTGATTCCCTTTCTACCTAAAGTTTAAAACAAACTGCCTGAAAGTGGCAGCCACATTTCTATTCAGGCAGCAGTGAGAGTGTCAACTGAAATCTTGGCTAATTAAAACCTGCCTGATTCCTTCTAAAGTTTTCACTCCACAAATATTAATGGTCTTCTCTCCTTTATAATGATCTTAATGTTCAACTACTCTAGACTTTCTTCTCCAATTCTGCTATCTGTTAGCTGCTCCTGGGCAGGTAACTCCTCTTTCATGGCCCTAAAAACTTTTTAACTCATTCCAATGAAGTTATTTGTTTTTGCTTCCATATAAAGCTGAATACTATAGCTCTAGGCCTTTAGCATATTAGTAGAGCTTCTAGTTTCTTTTTAGCTGGATAAAAATATGTTCTGTGTTTATATGGGATGATGCACTGTACCATCTGCATCCTCATTTCAAAATCCTAGATCTGCCCATGGGCATAGCCTGCATAACTGTCTGCCTGTGCTGCTAAAGTCCATTTACTCCAGTAAGGAGCTGTGTACTGAATGGCTGAAATGAGAATATTCCATCCAGCAAAAAATCAGTGCTACAGTTCATTTGCAATGCTTTAGTTTTAAAATCAGACTATCTATATAGATAGAAGGATGGGGAACTTAAAATGGAATCATAAAATTGTTGCTAGGGCCTGTTTCAACTGTCTTCTTGAAATACAATCAAGTGCCCCCCGCCCCCCCCCCCCCCCCCCCCCCCC